TCTGTCGCCCCCCCCCCCCCCCCGTGAGCTCCCTCCTTGGCGCTAAGGCCTTCCTTCCCGCTGAAGATTTATTTGGTCCTATTTTTCCCATCTCTCTTTGGGGCTTTCGAGAAAGGGAACAGACGCGGAAAATATTTTTTTTCCGCAACAGTTTTCCATTCTGCGGCTGGTTCCCAAGCCGAGGGGGAGGGGGAGAGCAGGAGCGGATGGGGGTCGGCTGGAATAAATACTTGTTCCGAGAGCTTAATTTGGGTGAGAAAAAGGCAGTCCCTCCATTTCCCCACCCATCCCATGATCCAGAGGAAAACGCAAAGGGATCACTTGTTTGATTAGATGGTTCTTCAGAACCCAGGGAAGAATACAGTGTTGAAGACATTCTCATTTTCTCCCCCCACCTCTGTCTCCTATTCCACCACCCCACCCTCCCAGAATTTGCTAGCGTGAGGAAATTCGGATACTTTGAGAAGCTATTGAGAGGAAAGAAAGAAACAAAGTTTGCAAATCCCAGAGTCAATTCATTCTCTGCAAACCTACCTCTCTTTCTAGCAAAGATTCAGGTGTCTCCAAGCGGGACTCTCCCTCAGCGTTTCCATGGACCGAGTAGGGTGGGGTGACCACCCACCGCTCTCCCCAGTGTGGCAAACCACCTAGTGATGCTGGCTTTGCTCTCTGGCCACAGCTGGGGGAGTGGACTGAGTCTTCTTCCCCAGCCCTTCCACGCGAAGGACCTTCCTGGAAGAAAATGGGTGCAGGGAGCTGGGCGGGTGTCTGACCTCGCCGTCTTCGGAGGGATGGTCCCCCAGTAAGTTCGTACCCCCACCCCACCCCCAGCCTAGGACGGTCTCAACAGAAGAGCTGTCTTAAGAAAATGCTTGTCATGGCAACAGCTCCAGCCAACTCTGGCCAGACTGGGGCTCCCCAGCTCTCCCCCAGCAGGGCGGGAGGAGAAAGGGGCGGAGCGCGAGCCGGCGGGGGTGGGGTTTGGCGGGAGGCCAAAGCATTGCTCAGCTCTTAAGGTAGCCCGAGAGCAAGGCGCGGCGGAATGATGCTTCTTGGTCCGTCTTAAGGGGGAATGGGGAAGGGTAGGGGGAATCCTCTGCCCTCTTGGCTTTCTCCCAGCGCTGGTTCTTACTTGTTGAAAGGGGAGCAGAGCAGGCGTGGGTGTGGGTGGAGGTGGGAATGGATGTGGGCAGCGGTCTTCAACCGTTGCTGCGTGGAGGGGAAATAAAGGAAGTGTCTGCAAGCCATTCTGCTTCCTGCAGCTCCTCCAGGCCTCTCATTCTCATACTGATTTAGACTCAGGACCACGAAACCTCAGGAGGCTGTGGGCATCTGCCCTACTGACCCAGTCTGAACTGGGAGTTCACTGTCAAAGACGAGGCAATTGCTCAGGGTGCCCACACACATAGGTGCCTCCTCACCCTCAGACCCAGGTCACATCTTGCTCTCTCTTGCTTGTGTACCCAACCAAAGGCATGTCCACAGGGCATAGAATGGCTGCTCGCCTGTGTGTGGCTGAACACCCAAATCTTTGCATCTACAATATCGTTTTTAGCCCTGGTGGCAGTCTCAAAAAGGTACTCATTACTGTCCTGGTTTCATGGTTGAGGAAATTAAAGATTGAGCGACTTGCTCAAGGTTACCCATCTGGTTAATGACAGCCAGGATTCAGGGGCAAGTCAGATCAGACCCATTCCAGAGACTATGTGCTTCCCTATCCCTGTATCATACTATGTCACACATTTCCATCCTAGCGCGTACACACTGAGACATCCGTACACACTTAGACACAGCCTATAAACTGTTAATCACACCCCCGTGCCACACACCCACCAGCATTGTGCAACAGTGCCACCCATAGCTTTTGCATGGAACCTTATGGCTTTCAAGTACAAACATGCACCATCAGCTGGCTCACACAACACATCTTCATTGACGGATACATTCCCACACCTACCTCAGCAGACATACTCACTCATGTTTACATGCTTATGAAAGGCAGGCTAACACAACCTCACAGGTTATAGAGTACTGTATAGGGGAAGAAGGGGATTATTACGGTTCCCCAACCTATTAATAGAGCTTCAAAAATGCTCCAGTACCTAACCAGGCATGGTGAGTATACCTGTAATCCTAGCAAGCAGAAGGCTGAGACAGAAGGACTGTTAGGAATTTGAAGCCAGCCTGGGCTACACAGTGGGAGCCAGGCCAGCTATAACTACACAGCAAACAAGAGCCTGTCTTGAACAAATAAACAAAGACTTGTGTGCAAGAAGAAACAAAGCCTAGAAGAAGACCAAGAGCGCTTCCCAACTTCCTACCACTTGGCCCTTTCTTTTTTACTTCCTAATCTCATTGATTTCTTTTTGTTTGTTTTGTGTTTGGAGACGGTCTCATGGATTTCAGGCTGGCCTCAAACTCACGATGTAGCTGAGGCTGGCCTTGATTCTCCTCTACTGCCTAAGTGCTGGGATCATATGCATGTATGACCACTCCTAACATATTCTACTATTTCCCAATAACTCATCTACATCCTATTTCAGAACTAGGGAGAAGTTAAACAAGAAAAAGTAAAGGGGTCATTTAGAGCAGTTGGGCTCAGAACCCAGGAGTTTCCTCTTTGTAGAAGAGGTTATCTGTCACCTGTCTAAGGTGCGAACAAGATCCATGGTCAGCCCCTGCCCTGCCCATCCATGCCTTTCCTCCCTAGGCCCACCCAGCTGCAGGATAAGGAGAGAATCTAGAAGCATCTTCTACTGAAAGAAACCAAGGAGCGCGTCCTCAACAGCAGTTATTTCTGGGATTTTTAGCTCTCACACTTGAGGTACTTAGAAGACACCAAAGATGACATCGCTTTCAAATGTGGGCACACCTCCAACTCCTCTGGTCTCTCTCCTCTCCCTAGGCATTTCACCGAAAGACAGAAGGTACCTCATGAGATGTGGTAGGTTCTACCAAAATGTCAACTTCAGGAGCACACATAGGTTGTCAGGAACAACATAGGAAAGGAAGGGAGAGGAGTCAGCTGGTCAGAGCCCGAGTTAATAGCTTGTCAGGCTCCACGCTGGACGGCAACAGTTTGACATTCCATTGCCCAAGTGAGTGACAGTTGCATCTTTATCATGGCTCTTTATATGTATGAAAGCATATTTTCAGCTTTCAGCAGTGGCAGTGGTGGAAGAGGCATTGCCTAGCTGTTCAGTAAACTTGTCTTGGAGGAATAATAATGAAGACCTAGGTGTGGTCCTAGGAAAAGGAGAAGGGTGCTTTGGCTGTCTGGCCTCCAGGGGCTATGGATGATTCCTGGTTATAGCTGGCTAGTAGGTGGAAAGTAAGATCCTCTCCTAAAGCTCTCTGGGCTATAGGGAGATAGGCTGTGGGCCTGGTGGAAGGGGTGTTGCCAAGGAAATCAGCTCTGCTGTCCCCAGCCCGGGCTGGAGGGTCAGGATGCTGGCACCTACAGGGGCTGCAGGTCCTTCTCTTGAAGCAGCGCTCTTTCTTGGCTGGGCTTGTGAGCTGAGAGAAAAGGACACTCCCTTCTTCCCTTCTTACTTCTTTTCCAGGTGATTTTAGAGGAAGCCGCAGCCTGAAGTCTGTAGCTGACCCAGTCACTGCAGCCTGTGTTTTCTAGAAACCTAGAAGCCTTGGTGTCTTGTTTCTTACAGCTGCAGGTTTGAGGTCTAGAATGGGTAAAAATAAAATCTATCCATAAAAATAACCACTAGATGTGGGAAAGTAGAGCTGCCTCTCGGGGGCAAGAGGTGGAGCATGGCCCTCAGTGTTCATAGTCAGGCTGTCCTCATCCCTCATCTGAAGAGCATGCAGCTGGTGATCTCAACCTTGGTGTTCCTCAGAACTCTGCGTCTTGGGAGCTCTGTCTTGGGTTCCCCCAGACCCTCATCATTCCTCCACGTCTCTCCAATGCAGACTGTATTGCTCCTATTTGGGTATCTTTGGTAAGCATCCTCCCTACACCCAGATCCAGGGTTCTTCTTAAAAAGAAAATCTATCTACAATTCAGTATTTATTTATTTGTGTCTCTCTGTGCATGCACAGGTATGAAGGGGTACATACCTATGAAGACACGCAGAGGCTGAAGGAAGGTGTCTGGTGTCTTCACTCATTCTCTGCCTAACTCCTCTATGACAGGTCTCTCCCTAAACCTAGCGCTCACATCTTTTGGCTAGGCTGGCAGCTGGCAAGCCTTATTGAGCCCATCTCTATGATCCCAGAACTGGGGTTACAGGGCAGTCAATGCTAGACATGTTACATGGGTGCTGGGATGGGAACTCAGGGCCTCACGGTTGCACAGTAAGCACTCTTAATCACTGAGTCATCTCTCCAGCCATCAAGGCTACTTCAAGATGCTCTTTCTTCTCAATGTTAAGATAAGAACTGTCATTTCATTAGTGTCCCCGCCCCTCAAGATCCATGCTGAGTCAATTACATTCTTCCATGAGATTTTAAAATTTTTTTTTTGGTTTTTCGAGACAGGGTTTCTCTGTGGCTTTGGAGCCTGTCCTGGAACTAGCTCTTGTAAACCAGGCTGGTCTCAAACTCACAGAGATCCACCTGCCTCTGCCTCCCGAGTGCTGGGATTAAAGGTGTGTGCCACCAACGCCCGGCAAAATTTTTTAACAGATTTATTTATTTATTATGTATACAGTGCTTGCCTACATGTATACTTGCAGGGCAGAAGAAGGCACCAAATCTCACTACAGATGATTGTGAACCACCATGTGGTTGCTGGGAATTGAACTCAAGATCTTTGGAAGAGCAGGTAGTACTCTTAACCACTGAGCCATCTCTCCAGCCCTTAAAATTGTTTTTTAAAATTACATTTATTTATGTTGGGGGGGGCACATGTGTACCACAGTGCATGTGTGGAGGTCAAAGGACAACTTATAAGAATCTGTTTTCTCTCTCTATCATGTGGGACTCAGGAATGAATTCAGGTGTCAGGCTTGGCAATAAGAGACCTTATCCACAGAGCCATTTTGTTGTGTCTCTTCCCGGAGATGTTTGAATGTAAGATCAAAAGAGAGAGAACAAGGCTCGATTCATCAGTGGACATAGTGAGTCAGGAGACTCTGGAAGTGTCAGCAGTCTTGCTCCCTGTCATGTGGAAGAAGCCCACCAATAGGAGAAGAGAAATGGTCTCGTGCAAAGAGAGGCAGAGAAGGAAGCTGAAGAGGGCTGGCCTCACGGCAGCCCTCAGAAATCAGAGGCCTGGCTGGGTGGTAGTGGTGCATGCCTTTGATCCCAGCACTTGGGGCAGGGTGGGCGTGGGAGGCAGAGGCAGGTGGATCTTTGGGTTCCAGGCAAGTTTAGTCTATGGAGTTCCAGGACAGCCAGGGCCACACAGAGAAACCCTGTGTCATTAAAAAAATAAAAACAAAAACAAAAACAAAAAACAAAACAAAACAAAACCAGAGGCAGGAGGATCATGAGTTCAAGGCAAGCCTAAACTACATGACAAATTCAAAGTCAGCCAGAACCATGGAAACCTCATCCCAAAAATAAACAAAACAAAACCCAACAACATACACACACAAAGAGATCTGAGCCTACTGAGTCAGTGATATCTCCTCTACTATCACACCCTTCCTTTCCTACAGATAAGTTCCATGACTTACTGTCCAAGCACGGCTATGTGAAACTGAGGTGTTTAGTCATTTGTACTAATATAGAAACACAATATAGAAACCCTTTGAGGTGGCTCCACCATTTTGATACACTTATTCATTACATGTATTCCTTCAGAATTATTGAATACCTGCAGCCCAGTGCAGTGTACATACACATTGAATGCTTTCTGTTTCTGCATCTACTGGGCTCAGACACAACAGGGGTAGGGAAGATGTGTTAGTAGCATGAGCAATCACAACAGAGGAAGCTATGGTTGTAC